TTCTACAGCATGTTTGGTTCTTTAGAGTCACTATTGAATCTGGAACAGAAACATGAGGTGGTCACAGCCATCAGTGTAGAAGTATTCCCAGGAGTTCTGCAGACTGAGCAGAAATACATAGGAAAATGGAGGGAAGCAATCGAGACGGAAATGAACATTAGACACAGCGAGACTTATTGTAGACCATCAGGAGCACGATATTTGGTGGGTTCAACGTTGGCTCCAATGTGCAAGAGCAGATATCCTGTACATTTCGTGGCTGTGGACGTGAAGAGTAAAAGAACGATCGTGGATCAAGCCTTCTCAGTGCCGAAGTGTGTGAGATTGGCGAGAATGTCTGAAAAGTCTTACGAGTTACTATGTAAGATGTTCTCAGCAGTTCCAGAGAGAACCAAAGAAGAATTGGAGTCAATACTATGAAAGAAGTTCATGGGATATGTGAGTGGGAACTTCAGTGACTTTGAGAGACAGAAACAGAGAGGATCAACTGGCACAGATTACAATGCAGTAGATGAGAATGATGAAGTCCACCGAGTGATGATGGAAGTGGAACCATTGCTGGAAGCTTCGGGAAGACGTAATTGGAGGAGCATCATGTTGACACATGACGAGTTTCCTTGCCACTGCTTGCTGCAGACCTGGTGGTATCCCAAGCGTAGTAATCTGATGTTGATCTGGGACTCTGGAGAGCTGCTTTCCATGGGTTTACCAGATTCATCACAGCCCGTAACAATAGTGATAGTGGGAGTTATGATGGCGATACGATGGCTGGAAGCTCATGTGAGAGAAAATAATAGACAGGAGGCACCAACGAGAGAACAATTGCGGAAATTAGATTGTCTAAAAGATTTAGATCTTTTTGAGACAATGTGCAAAGTTCAAAACATTCCGATGGAAGTGAAGAAGATATGGGCAAGAAAACGATTGATGCCATGGTTCAGAGCTAACATGACTGCATGGTTGTACGAGTATGCGAAAAAGCATATGTCGAAGCATGGCAGAGTGTACAGTGAATATCAGCTGGACATTGGGGCAGGAGCTTTCAAGCGAGCTTTCGTGACTCATCGGAATGCAGTGACCACCGCTGTGAAAAGAATTTCCAGGACGAGTGAGCGTAGTGGAAATGAGAAGGGAGAGATGCTGAAAGAAGATTTGGAGAGAAACGTGACGTTGTGTCTCCACAACAGCTTCTGCAGAAACAGAGAATCCAACGTGGATCCCCTACCTTGCTGTAAACAGAGGGTAGAAGAGCAGAAGTGTTGGAGGACGGCTTCCAACAGCGTCAGGATAGCCAACGACGTGCTACAAGACACGGAAACCGAAAGTGTGGAGTCAGTATCACAGGAGGAAGAAATGGAACATTGATGAATGGTCGAGAAAACAAGAGGCAACAAGAAAGAAAATTAGAAGAATTTAGAAGTTTTAGAACTTCTAAACGACGAAAAAAGAAGAGAACAAAGGAGTGATGAAGAAAAGTTAAAATTCAGAATTGTTTTATGTGTGTGAAAAACTCAAGTGAGAAACCAAGCAACCAAGTTGTAATTGAAAACTGAAACATTTAGTTGAGTTTTGAAATTGTTGCATTTATAAATTTGCATTTTGATTTTAGTTGAAGTGGCTTTAGAGACACTTATTATTTATTTAGAAAGGCTTAAGAGGAGAGTATATTTAAATATTCCAGCCTGCATGATCGTTTTTAATCACTTAGGAAGACTGATCACTTTGTGGTGACATGGAAGGCTTGAGTAATCTCTCGAAGAGGGAGATTGTTTCATAGTTCTTTCTAACCACAAAGTTTCTTAGTTTTAATATTCAGGACAATAACAAGCAAGATTTCCGAAGGGAAAAGCGTAGTAGGATAATTTTAGCTTGTTGGTTGGCAGGACTGTCCTGCAAGCCAACACCTTTTAAATCAAAGAGAAAAAGTTTTAATCGGGACATTGACACTGGGAGTCAGAAAATATGTTTTATCTTAGGTTATATCCTCAATGTGCAGATTAATGAAAGAATTTGAAGGCCATAGTGATGTAGTATGATGCCATTTATGTTCTGCAGTGAGTCGATGTGACGTGGATAAAAGTAATTTCGTGCATTTTATAAATTCTGTTCGATGACACTGTAACCATTTTACGAACATTGTGCGATTCAATGAGGACATTGACGGGACTGTCCGGGGAGTATGAATGTCGACCAGAATGTACAAAATGCAATTTATGCAGACTTCGAATTTTTAGCAGTAAGCCTTCCGGATTGATGATTATTAAGAATTAAGAACGTTATTGGAACGATTGGCCAAACGGTGAGGGCTAGAATATTCTGGTATTTTAAAATTTCAAAAATTTGAATTATGACGTCATATTTCTGAGAAACGTCAGAAACGGCCATTTTGACTAAAACGAGAAAGAAAGAGAGAACAACATTAGCTGCGCTAACAACAACTACGAAATAGAGATTGGAAAACTACAACGAGTTACAGAGTAACAGAGAACACTCCGAGTTGCAACTATTGTGTCGCTACAATAGTTGCAGGGCCGTTGCAGACAACGGTGAAGGGTGGAGGACAGCCTTCCGGATTAAGAGGAAGTCAAGATTAACAAGCTTGATTCAGCGGATTTGTCAATCCGGAGGGGTAAAGGAACTGAAACTTTTATCCTGTTACATAAACTTTTAGCTTCCTGTCATGTCCTGACTTGAATTTAATTAACATCTAGATTCATTTTGATAAGGATGAGAAGCTAGGAGTTGGGGGAAAGGGTTGATCCATCTTCGATGGAGATGATGATTTTTATCTACTGAACAAAAACAATAGTAATATAATAAGTAGTAGCCCTGTTTTTAGGAGTGACCTCGTGGTCTGGGGATACTGAGACCCAGCCATGAGCTCACTATTTCTGCATGTAATCTAGTTAATTTGAGTGTTTTGACCGAAGCCGAAGGCAGTAACGTTTTTGTCGACCCGATGTTAGAAAACACCAACGAAAAGTACTGGCTTGGTAGAGACGGTGAAAAGCATGCAAAGCTCTGTTTAGACGCTAGCCAGTCGTCTTAAGACTTAGTTTTGTTTTCCGTTGATATGTATCTTCCGGGCGAATAATACATAATTTACAAAACTATAAGTTCCCAACCCGGTGGTTGGGTGCTTGCAGAGTACTCTAAGGAGTAACAAATCTTGCCTCCAAATATGACTGTTCAAATCCTTGTAGTTTTCGAGATATGACGTTTTTTTGTGATTTTTTCAAAAAAATTTCAGAAAACGGATATTATTCTTTTTCAAAAAATCTGAAATTCCCAACCCTTTACTTGGGTCCTGTCAGAGTAATCTCAAAGATTGCGAATCTTGCGTCCAAATATGACTGCTCAATTCTTTGTAGTTTTCGAGATATGACGTTTTTTGTGATTTTTCAAAAATTTTCAGAAAACTTAAATTATTATTATTTAAAAATCTGAAAATCCCAGTCCTGAAGTTGGGTACTGTCAGAGTACTATCAAGGATTGGGAATCTTGCTTCCAAATATGACTGCTCAAATCATTGTAATTTTCGAGATATGACGTTTTTTGTGATTTTTCAAAAATTTTCAGAAAACTTAAATTTTTGTGATTTAAAAATGTGAAATTCAAAGCCCTGTAGTTAGGTCCTGTCAGATTACTCTCAATGATTGCGAATCTTGCCTCCAAATATGACTGCTTAATTCTTTGTAGTTTTCGAGATATGACCTTTTTTGTGATTTTTTTTTTTTAATTTCAGAAAACTTAAATTATTATTAGTTTTTAAAAATCTGAAATTCCCAAGCCTGTCAGAGTACTATCAAAGATTGCTAATCTTGCCTTCAAGTATGACTGCTCAATTTTTTGTAGTTTTCGAGATATGACTCTTTTTAGTTTTCGAGATATGACGTTTTTTGTGATTTTTTCAAAAATTTTCAGAAAACTTAAATGATGATTATTTTTTAAAAATCTGAAATTCCCAACCCTATAGTTAGGTACTGTCAGAGTACTCTCAAGGATTGCGAATCTTGCCTTCAAGTATGACTGCTCAATTCTTTGTAGTTTTTGAGATATGACGTTTTTTGTGATTTTTTTCAAAAAAATTTTCAGAAAACTTAAATTATTGTTAGTTTTTATAAATCTGAAATTCCCAACCCTGTAGTTAGGTCCTGTCAGAGTACTATCAAAGGTTGCAAATCTTGCCTCCAAGTATGACTGCTCAATTCTTTGTAGTTTTCGAGATGTGAGATTTTTTGTGATTTTTTCAAAATTTTCAGAAAGTTTAAATTAATTATTTTTCAAAATTTGAATATCCAAACGCTATAGTTCGCTGATAAAGAGTTGCAAATCTTGCCACATGCGACTGCTAAACGCGACTGCTCAAATGCTTTTAGTTTCTGAGATGTGACCTTTTTTGATTTTTTCAAAACTTCTCAAAGAACTTATCTACAAAGAAATTCAAAAAATTTGGAACCACTAACTTGGTGAAGATACAACCTTATTGTCAGCGTACACCCAGGCGTCTCAAATCTTGCCTCCTAATATGAATGCTCAAATACGTTTAGTTTCCGAGTTAAGACGTTTGTTTTTTTCAATTTTTTTTTTCGGGAAACTTAGGTTTGGATTCCTAACCCTATAGTAGGGTGCTCTCAGGGACTCTCAGTGGTTGCAAATCTGGCCTCCAAATTTCTCCAGAGGACCATTAAGTTTTCAAGATGACGCTTTTGAAATGGGAATTAAAAAATACCAACCCTGTAATTGGGTGCAGTCAGAGTACACTAAAAGTTTGCAGATGTTGTTTCCAATATATGCGGTTTTTCATGAGTTGTCAAAAAATTTCCAAGCACCGAAGGTGCGTTAGATGCTAGTATGCTATTTATAAGCGTATTCGCGTATTCATAAGCGTATTAGCTCATTAGCCTATTCATGAGACTTGCACATGCTCTTCGGTTGTGCATGTTTATTCAATGTAGCAGATTGGGAACACTTCTTTCACTTTCCGGTTACCTTTATTATACGGTTTGGGTTTTTTTTTCATGCTCTCAGATAACGTTTCTAAAGTTAATGTTTGTTTTCCTTGTAATCATTCAACTGAATTTTTCAGAGCATGCCCGTTGTTTACTCTGATCTCTCACCAGGATCAGTGTATCTAAAGATTGATCAAGGTTGGGAAGCAGCTTCATCGAGACCAGTTTTACTTAGAGGTACACTTAATTTACTCAGTTTTTTGCAGTGAAAGAAATGTCAATCTGCGCATGTCGAAGGGCCTGGAAAACAAACCTTTCATGAATCACATGTCTTTGTAGACTTCAATATAACCTAATTTCATGCTATAAATCTGGTAAAATTAAGAAAAATATTCTTAGGTGGGAAGGAATACGAGAAAAAAAACACTTTATTTGCACATCGAAATTAATTTCAATACACAAGTGTATGTCAAATGTTTTCTATCAATTCATAAAAAGATTCTAACATCATTAGATACGCATAGTTACAATAAACAAAACAAAATGTATTACAATTATTGATGATTAATTTTCACCTGAGAGCTTCAAGGTGGTTTATATATAAATGTTCTTATATAAACTTGAAGCTTTTCCATGAAACTCTACCATGAGTTGCCACAGAGGGGTCTTCTTTAAATAATAACAAATAATAATTCTTGAATTTTTATCCTTGCTTTTCTGTATGTTAGTATGTCTTTAAAGTTGACTTTGTCATCTGTTAGTTTGTTCCAGATTACCACGGACTTTTTAAAGAAGGAATTTTCTATGTATTGCCCATTTTATCTGAGAGGACACCGGAAGAAACAACAATACACGTCCTGTAGTACCCGAGACACCGACATAAACATTTTGTGCCACAATCAATAAACATTCCTCATACAATATCATTCCAGCATAGATTGTACACTTTCAGTATTTCTGTTCTTTATACCGATGGTTAACTCAAAACCCTTCGCTTGATTGTATCTGTCGCCGAAATAGAATTTTTTGTTTCTTGTGTTAATATCTATTTGGTGGTTATCATACTTAATGTTATTATAGGCTGGCAATAATTGATGTTGTATTTTCCAAAAGTGACATAGTATTTTATAGTCCTGGAACATTGTTACTGGCAATATATTCTGTTTTTCCAAAGATATCGTTAAGTTAGCGGATATTGTAGGGTAATGTAAATGACTAATTACCAGTGCATTCATTATCAAGAATCTTGTTTTTAGTGGCAATGGCTTTTTGATTGATTGAAGTGTTTTTATTCCGCATGCCATTTTCCTGAGAATTTTTTTGATTTCATCTTGGAATGTTAGAAACTGATCTCGAACTACTCCTAGGTATTTAACATTGGTTTTTTCCTCAATTATTTTTATCACCTAGAGTTATAGTATACTTTTCATCCTTTTTCCTTGAATGTTTTTTGCTGAAAACGTTGAGTTCTGTTTTTTTTTTGCATTCAGTGATCTAGAACGGGACATCATAGCATTGCCATGCTCAGCTGGTGGTTTAGGTCTGATAAATCCAACAGAATGTGCGTCTCGTTTCTATGAAAACTCGGTCAAGCTGACAAACAAACTGAAAAACGCAATTATTGCTAAACAAGATCTTATTGACTACACGAATAGAACTGGACGAGCAGAAATTTCAGGATCGAACCGTAAACATGCTAAAGAAGCCCTCGAAATTGTGTATTCCCGAAGTGAGAATGAAATGAAGCGCACGCTAGACCTGCTACAGCCAAAAGGAACATCCGCATGGCTGACTTGTCTGCCATCTAGGGAGCAGAATTTTTACATGAACAGAGACGAGTTCCGGGATGCGCTATGTCTCCGATATGGATGGCACCTGAAAGGAATGGCTCAAACTTGTGAGTATGGCGCAGCAAATGATATCGACCATGCCTTGATTTGTAAGTTGGGTGGTTTCGTCATAATGCGTCACAACGCTGTCCGCGACGTCGAAACCGACTTTTTACGTAACGTGTGCAAGGATGTGAGCGTTGAGCCCGGTCTGATCCATTTGACGGGAAATGAAGAACTTGCAAGTGGAAGCAATCTGGAAGACAATGCAAGACTGGATATTTCTTGTCGAGGTTTTTGGGCGCCGCTGCAGAAAATGTTTCTTGACGTCCGTTTCACACACCCGAACGCTCCAAGTAATAGGAACCGAAAACTGAAGCCACTCCTAAAGACTCAATCTGCGAATGTCGAAGGGACTGGAAAACAAACCTTTCATGAATCACATGTCTTTGTAGACTTCAATATAACTTAATTTCATGCTATAAATCTGGTAAAATTAAGAAAAATATTCTTAGGTGGGAAGGAATACGAGAAAAAAAACACTTTATTTGCACATCGAAATTAATTTCAATACACAAGTGTATGTCAAATGTTTTCTATCAATTCATAAAAAGATTCTAACATCATTAGATACGCATAGTTACAATAAACAAAACAAAATCTATTACAATTATTGATGATTACTTTTCACCTGAGAGCTTCAAGGTGGTTTATATATAAATGTTATTATATAAACTTGAAGTTTTTCCATGAAACTCTACCATGAGTTGCCACAGAGGGGTCTTCTCTAAATAATAATAAATAATAATTCTTGAATTTTTATCCTTGCATTTCTGTATGTTAGTATGTCTTTAAAGTTGACTTTGTCATCTGTTAGTTTGTTCCAGATTACCACGGACTTTTTAAAGAAAGAATTTTCTATGTATTGCCCATTTTATCTGAGAGGACACCGGAAGAAACAACAATACACGTCCTGTAGTACCCGAGACACCGACATAAACATTTTGTGCCACAATCAATAAACATTCCTCATAGAATATCATTCCAGCATAGATTGTACACTTTCAGTATTTCTCTGTTCTTTATACCGATGGTTAACTCAAAACCCTTCGCTTGATTGTATCTGTCGCCGAAATATAATTTTTTGTTTGTTGTGTTAATATCTATTTGGTGGTTATCATACTTAATGTTATTATAGGCTGGCAATAATTGATGTTGTTTTTTCCAAAAGTGACATAGTATTTTATACTCCAGGAACATTGTTACTGGCAATATATTCTGTTTTTCCAGAGATATCATTAAGTTAGCGGATATTCCTTTTAAAAGAATTGCTGGGTAATGTAAATGACTAATTACCAGTGCATTCATCATCAAGAATCTTGTTTTTAGTGGCAATGGCTTTTTGATTGATTGAAGTGTTTTTATTCCGCATGCCATTTTCCATTCACTGAAAACTCGGTCAAGCTGACAAATAAACTGAAAAACGCAATTATTGCTAAACAAGATCTTATTGACTACGCGAATAGAACTGGATGAGCAGAAATTTCAGGATCGAACCGTAAACATGCTAAAGAAGCCCTCGAAATTGTGTATTCCCGAAGTGAGAATGAAATGAAGCGCACGCTAGACCTGCTACAGCCAAAAGGAACATCCGCAAGGCTGACTTGTCTGCCATCTAGCGAGCAGAATTTTTACATGAACAGAGACGAGTTCCGTGATGCGCTATGTCTCCGATATGGATGGCACCTGAAAGGAATGGCTCAAACTTGTGAGTATGGCGCAGCAAATGATATTGACCATGCCTTGATTTGTAAGTTGGGTGGTTTCGTCATAATGCGTCACAACGCTGTCCGCGACGTCGAAGCCGACTTTTTACGTAACGTGTGCAAAGATGTGAGCGTTGAGCCCGGTCTGATCCAATTGACGGGAAATGAAGAACTTGCAAGTGGAAGCAATCTGGAAGACAATGCAAGACTGGATATTTCTTGTCAAGCTTTTTGGGCGCCGCTGCAGAAAATGTTTCGTGACGTCCGTTTCACACACTCGAACGCTCCATGTAATAGGAACCGAAAACTGAAGCCACTCCTAAAGACTCATGAGAATCGGAAAAAAGTCGAATACAACGACCGCGTTCTGCAGGTAGAGCATGCCTCTTTTACCCCCTTGATTTTTGCGACCAACGGCGCCATGGTTGAGGAGGCAGAGCGATAACATGCTATACTGGCGGAAAAAAATAAGTGAGAAGCTGAACTGTACGTATGCGGACACTATGAACTATAACCGGAAGAAGCTCTCCTTCACCATCCTGAAAACTGCCTTGAGAGGACACCGGAAGAAACAGCAATACACGTCCTGTAGTACCCGAGACACCGACATAAACATTTTGTGCCACAATCAATAAACATTCCTCATCGAATATCGTTCCAGCATAAATGGTACACTTTCAGTATTTCTCTATACTTTATACCGATGGTTAATTCAAAACCTTTTCCCCCATTCAACTGAAGTGAGTGTTCTAAAAAATAATTTGACAACAGACTGCATTTGGCTTTGAGTGCTTTAAGAGCTTTTTGTGAATGGTTAATTTCACAGAATAGTAATGTATCATCCGCATATTGAACTATTTTACATGTTTTGTCAATTTGTTTGTTGAGATCGTTAATGTAGAGATTGAATATTAGAGGGCCAAGGACAGTGCCCTGTGGGACACCCTGCTCAAATGCAATCCAATCGGATTCGGTGTTGTTAACAATTGTTTTCTGGCTTCGGTTGGTGATAAAGGAATTGATCATTTCTATAGCTTCTTCGGAAAAGTTTAACCCTTTTAGTTTCTGTGTAAGATAAGTATGATCAATAGAATCAAATGCTTTAGAGAGATCCAGTAAGGAACATGCTACAGTTTTGTTGTTGTCTATTGCTTTTCTGAATGCTTCAGTGCAATAAAGAATAGCGTCGGTGGTTGAATATGATGTTCTGAACCCAAATTGGGTATTACTTTGTACTTAGTAATTTTTGGGATGTCAGATATTCGTTGATTTGTTTATATAACAATTTTTCAAAAACTTTTGAGAGAGCCACAGTTATAGACATAGGCCTATAATTTTCTGGTAGTTCTGGATCCTCTTTTTTGTATATTGGTGTGACAATTGCTTTTTTGAGCTTGCAAGGATGTGTCTTTTTTTCAAAAACTCATTGTATAGAAATGTCAGATGTGTGTATATTTCATTGCAGCCATCCTTCATTGCCCAGGCTGGAATTTTGGATGGACCTTGTGTCTTTTGACAGTTTGAACTATGTATTTCTTTTTTACATTCAGCTGATGTGATGAATCGGAATGAAAACTTATTATTATTTTGAATGTTGCATGTACAAGTCGGTGGACTTTGCCTGATTTTTGAATTTTTCTCATAAAAGCATCCAAGAGTTGAGAACTTGTAATTTAGCAGGTTCGCCATCTGTAAATTATTGGTTATGAAGTCGCCGAAAGAGTTTCTGAGTAATGGAATGAGGTTGGAAGTTTTTTTTTTGAGTTTCTTGTATCGTTTATTATACTCCTTTTTTCGCGTTCGCTTTTTTTCGAGTTAAACATTGGGATAGAAATTTATCATCTTCGTAGTTAACCTTTGGTTTGTCGTTGCGAATGAAAAAAGTCTTCTGTGGGGCACATTTTTTAAGGGTGTCAGCAATGTTAGATGTGAAGATGTCGAACATTACTTCGGGACTATTATTGCTATAGAAACTTCTCCAATTTATAGCTGATAGTTTTTGTTTGAATTTGTAATCGGATTAATTGGATTTGTCATATATTTTACGTTTGATTGGTCTTACGTTGTTGTGCAGCTTAAGTTCTGTTATGAATGCTGTTGCTTGGTGGTCGATCTTAATTGGTGGTATGAATATCATTGAATTATTTGTTAGATCTTTTATGCTTAGGTCGGTGATATATAGTCAATTAGTGCTTTTTGAGTGAGTAGGTGTTAATTTGTTAGTGACGTCCAGATTATATAGTATTAAGATTGTATCTAAAGACTGTTTGTCGTCTTCGTTGAGATACTTGAGATTGTAATCTCCTTGTAAAATTAGGTTTGAATTAAAGGACTCTGCATGGTCAATTGATTTGGATAAATCTTCTAAGAAGTCTGTTTTGTTGTTTCTATTAGGATTGTAGGCTAGGATTAATAGAGTGGTTCTATCATTTTTGTTGAGTCCGGTTAATTTCTATCCAGATGCTATCATACTTTTTGTGCATGTTGTTTAAGTCATGTCTGACCTTAGGGTTTAACTTTTTAGGAACCAGTAACATGACCCCTCCACCCTTCAATTTTTTACTTGATTTATAAGTTCTATCACATCGGAACAACCTATGTTTGTCTTGTTATTGTCTATGACCCATAGTTTATCGTCATTTGTATCATTGAACCATGTCTCGGAAAATCCGAAAATTGTTTTATCATTAAAAGTTTTATTAAGTTGTTTGAGATCTGAACGCTTTCTAGCTAAACTTCTACAATTAAGGTGTATTACTTTTAAGTTGTTGTTGTAGTTTTCCAGTTTTTTCTTTATTTGACTGAATTCCATGAAGGGTCCTGGATTTGGGTGGGTATCCCCTGATGTTAGGAGAGTTTTTTGAAGGGACCTTTCTTGTTTTTTGCAAGTCTTGCTTGTGTTTTTTATATAATAATTGTAATAGTAATCGCTTATATTATTAAGTATAGTGCTTTAATATTTGTTCAAGTGGCAACCCATGGAAAAAGATAATTTACTTTCTTTTTATTCAGTACCTTATAAGCTACAAATTGATCGCTTTCGCAGAAGCTTATGACAGATATGCTAGTTAAGACAAGAAGTAACAGCATATCGTTTTGTAGAAAACTTTTAGTTAAAATTACAAATAACAGTCGTTTATCAAAAAGATAGTCTCAACTAGCATTACTTAATCATGAAAACGTTGCGAGTAGTTATATGACTGCTGGTTACGATTCAGATTATGGTTATAATTACTATCACAGCCCCATGAGTTGTTGTTGAAATTATTTTGACCAGTTTGTCGGCCATGACCAGTTTGTCGGCCATATGGGTGCATGCGATCGTTACTATAGGGTCGATTGGTAGACCTATAAACATTATTATGCTGATAATTGGAAAGCGAATATTGGTTGAAATTTGCTTTTCCAGTATAATCAGGGGCTGGTTTTACCCTCGGGCTTGAATGTTTGAACACGTATGAGCCGAGGCAATTGCGCAAAAATGGTATACCTAATTCATCGTTCAGGTGTATAGTGTCAAAATATAAACTCTGATAGCTCTCTAAGCTTTTGATTTTTGAATTTAGGTTTAGCACCTGAAATCCCGTCGTCGAACCATACATTTCATTCAGAAAACGAGTATAATGATCAATTTTGTCATTAGCATTATCATTGTTAAGTATTTGCGGTATTTTGCAAAAAACAATCAAATCTGGTGAAAGTTTTGCAGTTATTAAAGCGATAAGTTCTTCATATTTGGTGCTAAATTCATCAACCGTTGAGTAAATTTTTTTTAAGATGGAGTTTGTCCCATCTTGTATTATCACTGTTTTTTTTTCACTATATTGGCCAAGGACTTTTATTTTCTCCTCATTGGAGCTACCCCTGTATGCATGAAAAACCGTATCATTAGGGAAAGTTTCAGTTTTTACCCTAGCAATTATACTTGAACCCAAAATTAAGTTTACACACTCCTCTGGTATAGGAAAAGGCGAATAGTTTCTCAGTTTTTGATACTTCATTTGCTTTCGTCGATGTTGACTGTAGTTTGCCATCCTTGTCTGCTTCCGATGTTCTCTCAATAAACTCCATTATTTTACGATAATCTTCCTTTTGGTCGTACAAATCGGAGTAAATTTTGTATAATGCTGACTTTTGAAGTCCATTAAATTCTTCTTGGCTAAGTTTTTTGCTTGACATGTTTAAAATGGATGGAAATGACTGGTAACTGGAATGACAGTGTTTGATAGGGACTTCAGATACTGTATTTCTGTTCGCTCCTCTGATTCGATCAAGCAATGACTTCCTGTTTTTCTGCTGATAAATATGTTCTGCTAAAATAATTTTTTTCTGCAAAATAATTTTCTTTATCTGCTGAATAATTTTTCTGCAAAACAGTTTTCTTTTTCTGTTGAATGGCTAAAATTTTCTTTTTCTTCCCAATTGTTTTTCTGTAACTGTCTTTTTCTTTTGCCAAGTTCGGTTTTTTTTAATACAGATTTTCGAATAAAGCATGTATGGAATTTTCCAAATTTATGGTTTGATAATATAATGTACGGATGTTTTGTTTTAATTCGAATAAGTTTTCTTGTTCAGACTAACATCTATCTAAACGACTGTATTTTTGTTTTTAGAGAATTTTCATTTAGTATTTAAAGGTCAGAAAGATCAAAGGCGAAAATAATGAAAAAAAGAGCAAAAAAAGCCGACTGATTTCTAGTCTTGTTTCTTGCAGGATAAGCATGTAAGATAAGCATGTACTAGAGTACTAGAGCATGTAGGATAAGCATGTACTAGAGTACATTTTGGTTCAAAAGTTGATACGATTGGTCCCTTCTAATAGACTTATTGCCCTTTCGATAAGCAAGGGTATTGCAATCGGGTGCTAGACTTTTGGCATAGGCTTTGGGTTCCTGTTAAGAATTTTTCAAAAGTATTTTTTTTTCTGTGCCGAAAGTTTGTCGGTGGAAGATGTCGACTTTAATTTCGTCGGCTTATTATCCGAATGTTTTTTTTCACGGTAAAATTGTCGCTATGAAAAAGTTTTCTCGCGGTCATCTTGCTGTTGTTTTCCTAACTTTTTCAGAAGATGATCACGTTTTCTTATCAAGAAGTTTTGATCATATGGATTCTAAGCAAAATTTCAAGCTACACTGTCAGTTTGGAAGATGTGTTTACTTGAAGTCGGAATACTCAAGCAAGATACGTTGATCTTTTGAGTAATTTAGGAAAAGATGTGGGTCCCTTGCTCTTGGGGGTTGACGCTTTCTACAAGCGCGAAGAGAATACATGGATAGGTCCAGCTAAAAAAAATGGCCTAGATGGCCTAATGCACCTTCTACGTCACAGGTGACAAGTCATTAGAGTTCATTCCAATATGCTACATCAAGTAAAGTTTTCGGTTCCTGGTAATTCAAGAAACATAATGCGCAAGAAGTGTCCGGAACAGAAGTCAATTTTGAAAGTGATATTGTTTACCTGGACACAGCGAAATGTCAGACACAACTCGGCAGTCCAATGAGAAGGAGTTGCCTGATATTTTCAAAATTGTTTGTGAAGTTTATCTTTTTTTTAATAGTTTGATGTTTTTAGAAACGTTTCAAGTTTTTTCAGGCGAGGTGTGTTGTTTGTTTTGTTCCTTGTTTTGATTCTTGCAAATTGATATAAAATTGTTCGGTATTTGTATATTGTCTTTTCTGAAAAAAAAAAATAGTTTTTTTCATCAGTGTGATGTTAACAAATAGCTTCATCGCGTGTACTCTCATAGCTGGCAGGTTTCCAACGTTAGTTAGAGTCAAACTGATTTGCTGCCTATTTAATTTTCAAAAATGTTTTCTATCATGTTTCCGATCTGGTTTTCATAAAAATTTTTCTAGACACAATTTTTTTCCATCGCGACTGTTTTTTTCCTCTGTTTATTATTGACATTGCTTGTTAAGTGCAACGGGGGTCAGTAAAACATCTGAAGGTTGGTTTAGTATCAATGAGCGAAATGAAGGCATTATTAGGGTCATGTTTTTTCTTCGTGAAGTCAAATTATGCTCTACAATAATGAAAATAATATCAAAATTTCTCGAAAGTTGGAAAAGTACAGCAACAAATCAATCATATGGTTTACAAAGAAATTTTTATAATACCGAGTTGAATGTCATTAGTAAAGTTGAAACAAAGTTCATATAATCCCTCCATTAATGAAAGTGCAAGTGACGTGAAAAAAAAACGTGACTGGTTTTAGTTTTCAAGTTTGGTTTGAATTGTTAGTTTTTCCAACTGAATAAAAAAATACATATTGATCAAATTTTCCCAGATTGGATAAGTTTTATGGAAAAAGTGTCAGTAAGAAGATATGTTCGAAGTTTAATGATCATTAAAAGTTGATCTTCTTTATTAGTATCTTTATTAGTATCAGTGTCGTTGTATTATTACTAGTTTTGCTACTATACTATTGTTTCGAGGTCACCGAATTTTCTAGAGAGCTAACAAGTAAAGTTCATTGTACAGCTTCATGGTGATTTAAGAAACTGGTTTCACAACTTCATGGTGATTTTAGAAACTGGTGCTATTGAGTCATCGGAGTTGTTCCTGCGACGCAGATCATCACCAGGACTGCCATATTGCTCTTCGTTGGAGGAACTAACAAGAGGCCTTCATTTCTATCGATCTGCCAATCTCATATGTCGTTTCCGTTATTTATGTGAGTTTGTCAGGGCATGGTTCAAGTGCAAAGGAAATGACTCGGGCTATGTGTCGTCACAAAAACTCATCTTCAGACTTTTAATTCTTCTCTGCGAATTTGTCCGAACTTATCACGCGGGGGAGCGAGAACTATCCAGAGCCATTGCCAGCGTAAAGTTCTCAATCGAGAATAGATTTCATAGAATGAGCAATGAAGCTTTGCATACGAAACGAGTGATGAATATCAGTGGAATTCAAGCTATGCTGCAACAGTACCAAGATGTTCCGACAGAAGTCAAGTATGCGCCCTCAAGAGAAGACAAATTAAGTTCACTGCCGTTCAATGTGTTGGAGACAATTGTACGAAGCTTAACAAATCCACGAGATATATGCAGCCTTTCAGAAACATGTTCAGATATAAGAGTAGCTTGTACGCAGGAAAACGTTTGGAAAAGTTTGGCTATCTTTCATTTTGGCTATACACGATCGCATGTTGTTCAAAGAGTAAATGGGTGCTCGTGGTATAAAACAGTTGCAAAGTTGTACGGTACTCATAAACTAAGAGAAGTTTACGCGGACTATGTATGCTACTACCCGAAGCATAACAGTCTTTCGTGGATAGGAGATCACTGGAAAATACATAATTGTAAGTGCGATTGTTCGCCAGAGTATATAACACCTCAGCAGTTGGTCAAATTTTTGGACTGAAAAAAATCTGAAACAAACTAAAATTGGTCTGATAGCACTTATTTTTCATTTACATTGCTTTGTTTTTTAAAGTCACAATATATTAAAAAAGGATAGAATTAGTTAGTCAATTGTAAATTATAAATATGCAATTTAGAGTTTCAATTTCAATTGTTAAACCATGTAAAATTGTCAGTTTATTTATTGTAGAATTAAATTATTTCTGTCATCTCTTTTTAAGAAAGGAAAATATGCCTCACAACTATTAGGAAACGAGCAACTTTTCAGTATTTTCCAAAAACTAACTTTTGACTACTAGAGGAAGATATCAGCCAATTCAACACTGCTCCTAACGATACCGAATTTAACACCCTATCTACCTAAGGCATTCGATTCATCCCTGTCATGGAACCCCCATCATGGTTGCGACCCCCTGAGCGTCTAAAGCGTCCTCCCTTTTATGATATTTTACGACGTCTGTTTTTGTCCCACCAACATTAGAACTTGTCTAAAAGCACTTTTGGCGCCAATTTATACTAAGTTTGTGAAGGTGAACGCGCAATAACTTTTTTAAAAAGTCTTAAACTTCCCTGCGGTTTTGGTTGCATAAAAGTGTATATAAGGTTTTGGGACCTCGGAAATTATATTTGGTCAGCCAAAAAAGATTCAAAAAATCCTCCATGAAGAGAATATCTTAGATCCGCCCTGCTGAAACATGAAAATAAAATTATTCGGTGTAAACGTTCGGTTGATTAAGTGTCAATGAACGGAGTCGTGTAGTTTTTTCTATTGAATATTCTAAAAGTGTTCTAATAAAGACACAAGTGCAGTTATGCATATGATTATTTTTTATGTATGCAGTGCTGATTTAATTTATCCGGACAAAACAAATAAATCGTGAAATTAGGTTTCTCAAATTTCTCAAGTGGGTTTTTCTCAAATTGGTTAGATTTTAGACAAAAAATGATGAAGACAAATTTTGCTTGGAATGTCAGCAAAATCAACATGGTGCTATTTTTTTTGCAAAGTCCGTGTTCCAAGTTAACCCCCAAAACGAGTATTTCTGGCTGTTTTTTAGTCAATCAAAAATTTCGCCAAAACTATTGGTTCAATTGCTACAAAAATATATCGAAGAGAGCCTCTTTTGTAGCCCAACAAAACTTAAGACGGGTGCAATCTCGAAAAATGGCGCAAAACGCCTGAAAATTGTTTTTAATTAAGAAAAACTGGTTCTTTATCCATTAAAATTAACATTTTTAGCTATCAAACGGAAATAAATTTAACTATAAAAAACACGATTATGTCCTTATCAAATTTTGCTGGGCTTTATACGCTCGGTTTGTTAAAAAAGCCGAAAATGTTTTATTTTGGTTAAAATTTTGGACCCAAAATTTGCTCAATAAATAGCACCCTATTAGTTGTGCTGAAATTAGAAGCAAGTTTTGTTGTGACATTTGTTGTGTAAAGTCAGCCCAGTTTGGGAAGAACGAGTTTAAAGTTTCAAGTTGAATTCGTTTTGTCAGCATAATTTGAATCAGCACTGGGTATGCATAGGCGGTTACTGTGCAAGTAGCATATAATGTTCTGACCATAGTCTTAAAAAATTTCCAACAAATTTTTTTTTGTTGTGGTGTGATAAAATGATCTGAAGAAAAAGCTAGAGATTAGGCATATTTGACAGTCTGAAAAACTACGCAAATTGAGAACAATTTTTGTAGAAAAATGACTAGAAAAACATGTTTTGATGCCGAAAAGGCGCTAAAAAATAATTAAAAATAACTAAATTTACTGGACTAAACTGAATTGTTTTGATTTAAATCAAGCTACTCTACAATTTTTAGCCAATAAAATAAGCTAATGTAAGCCTCTTCGCTCGCTTTATCCGTAACAAAAAGGTAATTTTTACTCTGGGGTAATCAAAGCGCAAATGTTGAGAAAAACGTAAACCATAACAGTTTTCCAGTAGATTGAAAAATTGTATATTGATCCAGCTTTCTCAATTTGACATAATGAATTTGAAAAAGTGTGAATCTTAATTGATGCTTGAAATTCATCTTCAAGGCCATGTAATTTTTTTTGAAATTCAATTTTTTTTCTCCAAAAATTAGTTAATTGAGTCTCCATGAGTTCATAGACACTTTTCCAGCTGTCTGTTAGCTATGTTTTGAATTGGGGTTTGAGTTATGCCTTCCTCAGTTCAAATAAAATTCTTTTGCGAAAAAAGTGTAAATTAAGCTCTCCAAAAGGAAAGTGCAAATGCTACGAAAAACGTGGCTGAATCAATAGCTTTTCTTAGGCTCGTTAACTTTCTATTGGCTGCAGGTTGAAATTTTAATTCCGGTACCCTTAAAGTAATATAGAATAATCAAAGGAAAGTTCATCAAAGAAAAGTTATTGGGAATTATACTTTTCATGAAATTTTTGTTGAGGGTGAGGGGGACTTAACAACTTTCAATTGCCTTAAGTTTTTTTCGGCTTAATTTATTTCCCTAACTTTATATCGGCTTAGCGACCTCATATTGTTTCATTCGACGATTGAACAAACTTTTGCTTTGCATGATTGTGTGTTTTCAGGTTGGAGGGACTTCATAACTTTTTATTGTTCTTAATTATTTTTGATTTTGTTTGGTTTTGCTTTTCCTTTTTTTCCGGCTTATTAAGAATCGGCTTAGGGGCCTCATTTTGCGTCATTCGATAAGCGAGAAAATTTTTTGTGTGCGCGTGCGTGTTTGAAGGGTGAGGGCGATCTAATAACTTTTTATAAATTTTTAGTCTTAGTGAATTTTGTTTCTGTTTGGTATTTTCGACTTCGTTTCTTTTTGTTATAATTGTTTCCAAAATTAATTCATATTTTATAGTTGTGGTATCTTTTTGTTTCAAAACTAGCTTTTTTTTGATAGATGTGTTTTTTGAACATTTTCGATTTTTTTACTCGTGTTTTCTTGTTTTGTATCGCAAGTGGTGCGAAGCTTAGCTTCGCCTCTGTGATTATTTTTCGTTTATTTTTCACTCAAAATCGAGTGCGACAATTAATCATTGGAATAACTCGAGAGATTTTTCTTAAAAGAGCCCTTTCAGTCGTGATTCTAACTAAAAAAAAAATTAAAAAAGTTGTCCCAGCCTTGAGAAATACCAGTTTGCAATTTTTGAGTTGTAATCTAAATTCTAGCGACTAGAGCGCTCGAGTGACATTAATTATATGAAATTCAGGCCAAAAAAGGTTGATATTATTTATTACAAACTACCTTAGGAAGCTTCATTGGCAATAAAAGTTTTCTAAAAAAAATATTGTGAAATTTTTTTGCTTTTTTTGTTTGTCATTCTTTTTTTGAAAACAATATTTCCAATCATGTCTGATTCACTATTTTTCTACGCGTTTGTACTTTATTCGCGTCACAACACCCACTAAAAACGACATGTTAGAAGCGAATTAGAAGAAGAAAACAAATTTTCTTAAGCAATTTTTTAATGAATGGGTTCGGAAGATTCTGCGCTACTTGCTCAGCAACCGGTTATCCTTGATCTGTTTTTGGAAATAATTTTTTATTTTTAAGAAACAAATGTCTATAGAGCACCTACGTTGACATCTTAAACAAACCCCAAGCAACATCTTTATTGGAGCATTTTGTATTAAAAAATTTAAGATTAATAATTCGAACTATTCACTCTAAGTTTTTAGAGTAATTTACAGTTTCTACCGTAGATGTATGGAAGCGCGACCGCTAAAATGCTATTTTCTCCCTCTTAAATTCAACGAGATTTTTTGAAGTCTTCCTTTTTAGTTTTTTAACCACATATGACCTTGTGCTGTATACGTTCTGCGTAGCGAAATTGTCTGAACTTGCCGTTTAAAACTATTACTCATAATATTAATTGAAAAATCAGAAATTGAATTGATGAATGATGAATACGCAAGGTGAGATTTTGTTTTTGAATTGAATTGAAGATCTTGTTACCAACCTCTATAATAAGCAAAGCGCATGAAAAATTCTTTTAAAAGTTCTTTAATCTATATTTCAATTAAGTTTGTTATGATGAGTCGTATTGAATTTTTAAAAATGTATTATGAGTATTTAAGTTGGGGCCGATTTTGCACTGTTTTTGAGATAGTAGCCCCAATAAAATATGTTAAATATCATGAAAGTAGCTGGAAACAGAACACGTGAATAATTGTCCACGTGGAGAATGTTCACGTTGTGTTCCCCTCTGAAGAAAGCGGCTACTCTGTTGTTGTCCAGTTGTCTCGAAATGGATCTGGTCAGCGTCCGTTTCGGCTTAGGTGGGTTCTCGGGATTTGTCTGGATAAATGACTGTCGACTTTCCGGATCATCGAAGCCGTATCTGAATGGGTATACAAAACGACTAAATGAAATGTAAAGGTTGAATGGCATCTTATCTTGTTTGCTGTTCAGTTTGGGTTTTTTGTAAACTAGATGTTTCTTATAAAGGCTGACATCATTGCTTTGTATAATTCTATTGGAATAATCGATTATTGTATATTTAAGTTATTTTTAACTAGTATCTAATGTCCTTTCAATAGATGAAGTTTGACGCAAAATCCCCTCTCATTTTTCGCCAAATTTATGGCATTTTGGGAGTTATCTGATTTTTACTGTTGGGATATGCTTGCTGTTTAAAGTAATTCTTGATAAATAGCCTGAAGTCGAACATTTTAGCATAAAAAAGGAGTTTACTGGTTTTTTTTTACAGTACCTAGGATCTCTGGGAGTTCCGAAACTGTCGATGGTGCGAATGAGATGTCTGTTCTGGCTCGCCTTCTCATCAGCCATACTCTTCTCCTTCTCCTTATCTTGTTTGCTGTTCAGTTTGGGTTTTTTGTAAACTAGATGTTTCTTATAAAGGCTGACATCATTGCTTTGTATAATTCTATTGGAATAATCGATTATTGTATATTTAAGTTATTTTTAACTAGTATCTAATGTCCTTTCAATAGATGAAGTTTGACGCAAAATCCCCTCTCATTTTTCGCCAAATTTATGGCATTTTGGGAGTTATCTGATTTTTACTGTTGGGATATGCTTGCTGTTTAAAGTAATTCTTGATAAATAGCCTGAAGTCGAACATTTTAGCATAAAAAAGGAGTTTACTGGTTTTTTTTTACAGTACCTAGGATCTCTGGGAGTTCCGAAACTGTCGATGGTGCGAATGAGATGTCTGTTCTGGCTCGCCTTCTCATCAGCCATACTCTTCTCCTTCTCCTGTGCTGCCTTCTGGCTAATTTTGGTTTTGAAGTGTTTGTCCAGGTAGCACACACATGCGAACTCGATCAGTGCCCCGAAGACATAGATGAAACAGAGGCCGAAGTACACATCCAGCGCCTTCACTTTGCTCACCTAAACAGAATGTAAAACGGCTATAATATTTTTTTGCGAGAGCAAGTGATTTGCGATCGTAAGTAGATTTTCACCGATCAACCTTTATTCGTTTTAAATCCACTCCAAAAACACCTTCGAGGTCCATTCTCACGTGGTCTTGTAGTAGCGCGCTTGCTTTGAGATCCTCAGATCTGATGCAAGAACCGCGGCCGGATTTTTTTTTCGGTTCGATTTACTTTGATCGGACTTGCGTTTATCCGTTTAACTTTTGCCGGCTAAATTTTAATTGTATGGATTTTTCTTTTGATTGAAACAATTTTTTCTTATAATTGTAACCGTTCTGTTTGTCTTGTAATCTTACGAACTCTTATGATTTCTTACGTATTTTAACGTCTGCAGACATGAAAAGTGCATCCAACTCAATGTCACTTGACGAACAATCCATTCGCTTAACACAATTTTTAATGGGAATTCTTTAATACGAAATTGACAGACTATTTTATGGAGTCTCTACGAGACCCGCAATTTTTTCAGCCTTATTGAGCCAAATTTATTGACTACTAATATGCAGTAAAAACGTTATATCATACATATATCGACGATTTTTCTCTTCAGGCAGAAGACAGAGCACATGTTTTTTTCTGAATAAGAGAAAATTCATCAAATTCACAGACATGAAACTATGAAAGCAGCCTCCGGATTATTTCACCGTTCAAACAAAATGTTAATGTTATTGACAAACGATTGCAAACGATTACATAAACAATCACTGATCAACGCAATACAGAAATTACAAACACCCTTAAACTAGAAGAAAATTCAAGAATTGGTAGAAATGCTAAATTTTCGCAGCAAATGCGTAATCAAAATGCAATTAGAATCACGATCAATTTATAGTAGACTATGGATACAAAAAAGTTTGAATGGTTAATTAGAACACGTTGTTGTTGTTGTTGTTGTTGCTAGTTGTCCAATTTTTATATACGTTGTTAGTTGCCCGTTTGCCCAGATTTTGTATCGATCACCATATAATATACAGTGCTGAATTAAATTATCCGGAAAAAAAGAGTAAAACTTGAAATTTAAAACGCGCTTTTCTCAAATTGGGTTGATTTTAGACAAAAAATGAACACAATCAATCTTGCTTGAAACTGTTACAGAAATATTACAGGGCAATTTGTTTTGCAAAGTTCGACCGTTTTTGGCTTTGTTATGTCTATCAAAAATTACTCCAAACCTAATTGTTCAATTACTGACAAAGTTGTATCACTGTAAGCCTCTTATAAAGCCAAACAAAATTTAAGAAGGGTTTAATTTTTTCAGCTTTGTATAAACATATTTAATTTCGTTTGATAGCCAAAATAATCATTGTTACCATATCAAACACCAATGTTGTTAGATAAAACTTTTTTAAAACCTTTTGCGCCCATTTTTGGAGATTACACCCTTCTTTAATTTTGTTGGGCTACATAAGAGGCTAAGGTGATTTGTTTTTTTTTTCAGTAAATTAAAAATTAGGTTTAGAGTAATATTTGATTAACTAAACATAGCAAAAAATGATAGCTCAAAAATTTCTTTGATGAATTTTCTTTGTGTTCATCTGAATGGTTGTCTACCCAAAGTTTGAACATCAATCGAGAAAGATGTATGAGATTTTTGTGGCTGTATATTTTTTAAAGTTTTTTCATTGACTGCTGATTTCGGTCTGATTTTCAATTCATAAGCTTGCAATCATATGCGTGCGTTGCATCACAAGTATTGCATTGTTCCGCTTAGCCTCTGTGTTCTTATTGTTGTATTCTAATTGTATTTTAATATCGTAAAGATTTGTTTGAAAAATTTGAGTTTAATCTTCTTCATACACGGCAACCCATACCATCAAGCCAACAAAAATGTTTTAGGGTTTCCTTGCGAGACCTTTACGCCGATACTTCATGCATTCAATCTTCAAACTTTTTGAAAAAATCAATCGTATTATAGCATGTTTCAAACAAAAACTAAGGTGGAGTGGGAAGAAACGTTGAAAGAAAGCTAATTTGATTTGTAAAGTGTACTTGACCTTGGGCAGTCGACTGTTCACAGTGCCCATGAGGGTGATGATGGTCAATACAGTGGTGATGGAGAGAGAAGCACGCGCAGGAATACACTACACAAAAAGTATATTTACAAAGCAGTGGCGTGCGCAGAAGTTTTTTTGAAGTTTTGCGGACTTTTTTAGGTGGGTAAATTAGATTTTCCGAATTATCCTGCGCAATGTTCTGCGCCGCAGGCAAATTTTTCAAAAAACAGGCCAAAAAGGCGCTTTTCAAACAACAGCCAAAAATGTATGTCGTAAAGTTATACCAAAGGAGGACCCTTTGGAAAAATTTAGCAACCAGAGTTAAGTCAGGAGTTTTCATCCCCCCCCCCACGCCCGCCGCCACCTTGGCTCGCTACTGATTCAAAGACAACAATTCGCGGAAATATAAAGAGTTAACTCAAGTTTGTGGTGCCGCAATTGATAGTTTTTCAATGTCTACTATTATCTAATAATAAAACCAAAAAAAGACTTCTAAACTGAAAATAGATAGGCGTTTTTGGGTGTAGTTTGACAGGTCTTATAGGGGAAGGGGGATAACGAAGGTAACTTGGGTGTAAGGTACCTTTGGGTCCACCCAGAACCCCACCCAAGACAGTCCCACAATGAGTATGGCGGGAGCATATGTCTGCAACACGTAATAGAGCAGTGTCCTCTCCAGGTAGAAGTAGAGTTCAAGGCCACTGAATCTGCCAGTGGGAAAGATGAGGTCGTATTTCGCTGTCTTGTGGTCTGAAAACCAAAATTGGCTCGTTTTCACCAGATCTTTTATCTGTTCAAAAAACGTTTGTTTCCCAAATTTAAATTCTCAAAAACAATAATGGAGTTTAAAAATGATGTTTTGGCGTGATTTGGAATAAACAATACAATAGTTTCTAGTATCAACATTTGTGGAATCCTTAAAAAGGTATTTATTCCCCGTAATGCTGGGCAGCGGGTATTGTAAATCCATATTTAGGCTTGCGATTTTTCAGCGTCATCAAATTATAATATGGACTTTTTTCGGGTTAACAACTTTTTAAACAAATTTATTTGATAGCTTGATTGATAATAAATTCAAATGTCTTGAGATCTGAGGCCCACTTGGCCAAGTCATAGATAATCATAGGAACCCTGTTTGTTTTCCCTGTTTGTTTTCACTTGGATTTTTGATATATAGCTTCCACAAAATAAGCTAGAGAAGATCTCTGTGACTTCACAACTGAGTGAGAAAAGGTCAAATTAATGGCTCCAAGATATGTTGATTACTTTTAGTGAGTTAAGTTTATGTTGACTTATATTATCGATTCTGGGGAAAAAGGGTCTCGCCTCAGGAAATTTTGTGTCTTAGTCGAAGAAGTGGCTGGTAACAACCGCATCAAATCAAATGCTTTTTGCGAATCTGATGAAAGCAACCCCGTTAAAACACTTGCGGTGTTTCATTCTACTTTTTTAAATGAATTCTATTCTTCTCACTGATGAATCTAAACTGTGGAAGATTTCTGGGACAGGAGAAACTGACTGAGTCATTGTCCTTCCAGTTCAGCCGCAGATCACTGTACGTGTACCCAAACGCCTCCACATTCAACTTACACACCTAAACCACAAAAGATATCGATAAGTTTGTTTATGACTGCTGGTTTGTCGTGTACGTAGCACAGAATGTTCCGACCCTTTCTTGATGATTAGCACAGAATGTTCCGACCGTTTTTTAAATGATTGTACAAATTTCTGCTCAAATTTCACAAAAAAGCGTGTTATATATATTTTTCTTGTTCCAGTATCACTGCCTTTCAATTTAGTAGAAAAAAATTTATCTCTCCTTCTATCTATTTTTCTCTTAGAAAAACCTTATATCTCTCAAAAAGCTGGAGACAGAGCGACGGTTTGATGTGTTTGTTCTTGAATCCCAAAATCAGAAAATTCAAAGAAACGAAACGCAATGGATGCCGAAGGAGTCGTGTCACAAAATCGTGCAGTTTGTTACTCGATTCTCTAAATAAATGGCGGAACTCTTTTGTCAATGTGCAGATAGTGATTTTGACAGTTTAGGGGTGGTGATTTTGACCTGTGTGTCGAGGGGGAACATTTCCAGCTCCATGGGACACTTGGTGATGACAGTCACTCTGCTGCTGTACAGTACATGGCCGGTGTGGGAGAGACGCAGCAGGATGTTCGGAACCATCACCTAGCACCAATTCTTAAAGTTATTAAGAAAAAAGATTTAAGTTTAGGTTATTGATATAAAGTGCCAGGGTATTCTGTGAAAACCAAACTAAAAGTGTTCCGTGAATTACTACATATTTGCTGTATATCGACGTGTTCTCGTTTGACTGAAAGTGGGCTGAATATTGTTCACACCTGCTGTTTGGAGGCAGAGAGTGATTCTGGGAAGTAAGTGTCTGGTACCCAGATCTTCTGCAGGAACTCATGCGACAGAGTGATGTCCACGTTATCTTCAGTGATGAAGCGAAGTCGCTCGTCATACCTTACCAAGCAAGAAATTTAAACCAATCATTGGAAAGAAATAAAGCGGATCAGTGGCGTGAACAATGAGTTCTTCACACGGAGATGTGAGGTTTTTCTTGATCAAGTTCTTTTTTCTCATGTAATCCCAAAAATTGTAAATTATTCTCATTAGAGAAAATACGAAAATTCAAACAAAAGTTGGTTACTACCACATCTGTCTAAATGAGATGTCGACTCTGAAGCTCATTTCAGTCTCACTGATGGGTCCAAGGGAGTCCACATTCATGGTCACATTCACCCCCACCGCCTCCCCTCCGAATCCAGGCCTCAGACGGCTGTCGTAGTCCTTGAGGAGGCCAATCAACACTTTGGTCGTCTCACTCATCTTCTTCTAAATCGATTAATATGAGCTCACAAGTTGGTGTAATTGTCATTCAAATTGTTTCATCTGATTTTTTCTCCTGTTTTCTAGGCTGTGCAAATTCATAAAATTTTCTACAGATTGAGCAAAACTGTTTCAATAATTTTTGATTATTTGTGGTAAGTTTTAAAAAAATTTTTTAGTTTGCATCTGTTAAAAAGAAATGAAGTAGAATAAGAGTAAATTGGTTGCTGTTTAAGTAACCATTTTTGTTAAGACTTGCGAGAGCAAGTGTCTTGTAATTGTGAACTAGATTTTTTCCCGACAGCAACTTTTCTTACAAATCGGCTAGAAATTGCATTTGCTTAATTATAAAACTTACGAAGTTACAGGTTCGTTCCCACTTGATCTAGAGGTAAATTGGCGGCCTTTGCACCCTAAGGTCTGAGGTTCGAGTTACGACCGGTTGTTTTTTTTTTGAGTATGTATGAAATCGAATGGTGTCTTCTCAAGTTTTGAAGGCTTAGTTGCCGCCTCACGGATTTTTTTTTGCGCTGTTAGCAATTTGTATTAATATTCAGTGTAATTTTAGAATTTGAAATTCAAAATTTATTTTCAAAATCTTTTTTCTGTCGGCTCAACTGATGTCGAATCAAGGACTATGTTTTTGCGCTTGTAGCAAGTTTTACTAATATTCAGTGTAACTTTAGAGTTTGCAACTCAAAATTTATTTTCAAAATCTTTTTTCTGTCGGCTCAACTCTGGGGAAAAATATGTTTGTTAAGACTCGGAATCTAATAAACGATTTGAGGCAAACGCCTTACCTTTCTTTTAAGTGCTTCTCACAATTTTTTGAAATGACTAAGTTTTTGAGGTAATCAAATTGCATATATATGATACTTAAGTTCAAAGCGTTAAATGCGGTTATAAACTCTCACAAAGACGCACAAAAAATTCACTTGTTTTCTGTAGGTCAATGTAGTTTCCTCTATGGTTTGAACTTTTAAACGTTATCATCGCTGAGTAGTTGAAAACCCAATTTTATGATCATTTTCCACAGATTGACGTTGGTAGCACATTGATCGATACATAGAGAAAGCCTAAATATAAATTTTACTCCGCAATGAGATAGCGATGTTTCTTCTGCGAATCCACGCTGAGTTGTACAATTTTCGGATCTACCGACTTTACAATCCCCCCCCCTATTGTATCTACTAAAGAATCTCCGCCCCGTAAATAAAAACAATAAATTCACACTGGCTCGCCCTTTGAAGCCCAAGTTCACGACATCTATAAAGCGTGTAAATTCGAATTTTGCTGCATTTTTATTGGTCGAAAATTCGCTGCAAGTTATCTGATTGATAATCTCCCCCTTTTCTTGAAAGGGAGGAAATTGTTCAGTAGATCCCAATTTTCTTTGATGAATCCGAGGAAAGTTAGCAATGAATTTTGACTAGAGCACAGATTGTCGTAAAACATAACTTAGCTACTATCACGTGCATTCAGTACTCGTTGTAGGTTTTTCGAAAAAGGTTAAGCGACGTTGTCACAAAGGACGTCTTTGTGACTAAAAATCTATTGATAGATTGTGGTTTTGATCTCAAAACAGTCGTTACGTTTACAGTCGTTCACGTTGGGTTCTTTTAATTTTTGCACTGTTCTAAATACTTCGAAAAGTAGTGTAAATTAATCAAATCACATAAGGAGGCCAAACTGTAAGCGGAATTCGCAACAGGCCAAAATCAGATTTGTCGCGGAATCCGCAACATTGCTACTTTTCTTTGACCTTCTATGCTGTTTTGGATTCCACAAACAAATACCTGAATCATTGTATAGCTCAAAATCGCTCGAAAAATAGGCAAATTTGCGGAATCCGCAACTGTATTTGCGGAATCCAGAACAGTTTGTGGAATCCACAAACAAATGATAAAACATTTGTATCATTAAATTGAGCTGTTGCGAAATCCGCAACTGTAAGTGGAATCCACAAATTGTAAGTGGAATCCGCAATTAGTAAGTGGAATCCGCCTTTTGTTTGTGGATTCCCTTTTCATATTTTTATATGTGTAGTAGCCTTTAAAGTTATATCTTCTAAATACATGATTTGAAGTCACTAGAATAGAAATTTACTAGAATAGATCAGTGTTTGGGATTACTGGAATCCCAATTACTGACCAAAATTTGGGATCGATGAAATCCCAAATACTGAAATAATTCGACGGTTTGCAATGCGTTGGGTTTCTAAGCACTCTCAACCTAATGACTCCAAATAATGGTTATATTCCATATTTATTCCACATTTTATCTGTTTTTGGGATTCCATCAATCACAAATACTGACCAGTATTTGGGATCGATGGAATTCCAAATACTGAACTAATTTGACGATTTTCTATGCGTTGGGTTTCTAATCACTCTCAACCTAATGACTCCAAATAATGGATATATTCCATATTTATGTAACATTACTCAAGTTTTTGGGATTTCATCTACTGTAGAGACCTGAGGAAATTTACATTTATAACTGAAAACTAAACTTTGAACAATGCAATGACTGGGTTTTATGCGAACCCTTGGATTATATTCCTAAATCCTTTGTTATTATTATGATTATTATTATATGCTGTGTGTTTTGCTTCCATACACTCTCAACCCAATGACTACAATTACTGCATTTGTTCGGCGTTATGCTTCCAAAACCAGTATTTGGGATTGACGCAATCCCAAATACTGACCTAATTTGTCGATATGCTGTGTGTTCCATACACTCTCAACTCAATGACTCCAAATAATAAAAATGTTTGGTGTTGTGTTTCCAAAATACTAGAAGATGACATCCACCGATTTAGGTAACAAATGTTTTAAGACTTGTTCGTGGATTCCGCTGACAATGGTTAAGTTTTGCTTTTAAATTCCGCAATGCTAGAGATAAGAATTTCAGCTCAGCTTTTAATTGTTCAAATGCAAGTTGAGTATTGAACAAAAATCGAATCCACTTACAGTTTGCGGAATCCAGAACAACTAGCTATATTTTGGTTGTTGCGGAATCCGAAACAAAACAAATGTGCCGACAAAATTTACGTTACAGGTATATGTATGCGGAATCCACTATAATTTTGTTTGTGGAATCCATTTACATTTTGGAACCTATTCTAAGACTTGTCTCTGGAATCCAGGAACATACAGACACAAAATTGTGCTCCTATCCAGTGCACAGTTTGGCCTCGTAATGCAAGATGATCAAAAATCATGAATGAATTGGCCAATTTAAATCGATGAGTCATCGATGTGTTTCTTCGAGTTTTTGCTGATTCAGCAATGGATAACTCTGGGTGGTCGTTCTACAGTCGTTCATTTTTCACCGTCTTTCCATATTTTTGATGATTCACTCTGTATTAAAGTATTCACCAAGATTGCCCGTACCATGTTGAAGCCCCGTATAATCTTGCTGTCTTCAAACGGCTTTTTTATACTTTCAAAACTTTTTTTTTGATGTTTTCAAAAAATGAAAGTTTTTTCTTTTTAAAATATTTTATTTCGTAATTTTTTTCTGCATCACATTCTATGAAATGTATAAAAGATATATTTTATGTCTTTTAATGTTTTATTTAGAGAAAATTGTTTGTCTGATTTCAACTTGGAAAAGTTTATCGCGCAGCCTATTGCCCAGTTTATCGCGCATCAATAATGCGTATTTGAATTAGTTGTCAAAGTATTCGCAAATAAAATCACCCATAACTTCAGAAAAAAGTTCGCAAGTGAAACTTTTCTTTAATTTTCAGCTTTGTACATGAATATTTTCAGAAAGTATAAGAAACTTTGTCAAAAATGACTCGATTAAAAGTTAAAATTGTCTGGTTAAAATGACCATTTGAGCACAAATATTCCGTCACTTTCTTTTATGCCTCATACTATACATGGCTTATAAATGATAAATGGTTGCAATATGAAGGGTTTTAGGAAGAGAATTAAACAGAGTGGGTGAAAAAACTGACTGATTGTGAATGATTTAAAATGCTCAGCTTGAAAATCAGTCTGCGAGAAACAGAAATACTCAACCCACATTTCTCGACACAGAGAGCTTTTATGGAACCCCAAATTGAAGTGCTTTTTAAAAATGTAGACTAGATAAGACTTAATTATTGATGGATTACACTTGATTCAGGTTCAGTACAAACACTATAGAACTAGTGTCAGAAATGGGGACGGAATTTTAAAATTAGTCAATTATTGGGGTTAGTCTAATTAAATTTAAAAAATGAAATTTTCTCCGATTCTGTTTACCTGACGATTAGTCTCTGACACTTCGCTTTTCTCTTTCTCAGTTGACTCATTTCTCGTTTGCCCGAAACACAACCAAGCATTTCCAATAAAAAACGCCCATAAAAAATAAAATTGCATTTTGTAAATAAAGCAAAGCAAACAAATCGAGAATAAATTGATATAATATTTGGCTGTTTAGCTCAGCATAATATCAATTTTACCAGTAAGGCAGTTCAGCTTTTATTTGCGATGGTTTTTATTACCAATTACCTGCCAAAACTATGCTCACCTTTTCAGTTTACAATCACTGCAGACTAATTTACAGCTGAATTAAATGATTTTTCTGTTGTGGTAGATGAATTTGCATCGAGCTAAGTCCATGGGTGGATCTAGGATTTATGCCGTAGAAGGGCGGTAAAGCGGATTCTTAAATAGTTCCAATTTTATAAATCAAAATCTCTACCAGAACTCTATCATTAGTTATAATAAAAATGTCTTCAATAAAGAAAACAACTTTTAATTTACAGACCTGATTCAAAAAACTAATCTTGGAAATTTTCTCAATCCTTTTTTTATAGATGAACCAAATTGATTTTCCGAGCTCTCCCAAAGCACTAAAAAGACTCTTCTGCACTTCTGCATCCGCTACTATCTCCACCCCCCCTCTCTCTAAAGCCGCCCCTGCTTGGAAGGACAGCAAAAAGGCCAGCTAGCGAGTGGGAAATGCCTACAGTTAGCTGCCTAGCGAGTTCTTTTGTCTTTTTGTCGGACTTACGACTGGTTGACGCCAAATAAGTTCGAGGATGTTGAAAACGTATTTGATTCCAAAAAAATGTTTTCACGAGGTCTATCAGGTGGAATTTTTGGGTGCTGAGGGGTCCAATTCCTTGCATGATTAAAACAGTGCCCAATTAAGACCAGTTTATACACGGAGTTTTGAAGTATGTATTATTAAGAGGAATGAGGAAACATACCTGAATTCATACAAACATAACTGAAAATTTTTAGTTTTCCAAGAGTTTTTTTAATGTTGAGATAATGAGAAACAAAGTTTATGCTCAAGAAAGTTGCGCTGTAATGTTTTTATCTGTAAATTTGTATTAATTGAACGTCGAAAAATGGCCAATCGGGGTCGAGTAGCTCAAAAAATTCCTTGAGCATGGTCGGAACATACCACGAGCATGATTGAAATATACCTTAAACCTATGTTCGAACACACCAATCTATAATCAGATTTTGCTTTTTATTAAAATTCAAATATGCCCACATTATTCGACGGCATCGATATCTGGGTTTGGTCTAGCGAAGTCGGGAACAATTTTTATAGAGAAATTTGGCACAATTCAGCCATTGTTTCTAATGAGGAGTCAATTTTATCCATCTTTGGGAAATTTTTTGCTAATTGTTCCCACTACTAAATTTTGTATAGGGCGTGTTTTGGTGTTTTTTGTTTTCCACGCAAAATTAGGTAAACAATCATCAAATTGGGTTGAGTGATGTATCATATTAAAGCTCTTCAGATGTGTTTCAAAATATAATTAAAATTTTTTATTTGAAAATTTTTTTCAGCATTTGGAAAACCGTTAGAAATTTTTGATTTTCAGTCTAACTTTGACCAAATAAGCTTGTTCGGTGAGCGAGTAGGCTTATTTGGTTTTTCAATCAAGAAAATTGCCGCAGATAATCATAGGAATAGATGGCATCAACCCTTTCAATCTTGATTCGAACGACTCAATTCTTTTTCAATTATTGTCCCAGTGTTGAGAAAAACCGATTCAAAACATTTGAATTTAACTCTAATTTCCATAATTAAAGCAAGCGTGCAGGCTTATTATCAAAAATAAGCCAAAAAGTTTCTGGAAAAACATATTGAAAAATGTATTAACTTTTTTTGTTAATTTTTGCTTTTTTTATGGTCAGTTTTTGAAAAAACCACTGCTCTGTTTGCTTAATGTACAGTGACTAACAGATACACGTACATTTCACAATTTCTTCAGATCTTTTCATCATTCAATTTTTCATGTTTTCATTTCAAGAATATGGTCGGAACATTCTGTGCTACTTACACAGCAATCGGCTATCCTTGTTCAATTATCTATATGTTTTATAAAGCTCTCTTCACAAAAAATTTCTCGAGATGAATTCAATGTTCAAAAGATTGTTTAAGCTAATGGGTTAAAATTTTGACATAAATAATTTTCCTTCTCCAATAGTCCTTTCTTCTTTTCAATAGTTCCTTCTTAGTCAAAGAATATCTGTTTAACCATTTTTTTCTAATTTTTTTAGTTTTTTTTTACAAAATTCATTATGATTTTGTATAAAAGCACTATTTGAAATGTAGTCTTTTAAAGTTTTACATTCTACCACTATCTCAAAACAAAGTAAAAATCTCGCTTGCTTCCAACTCATTGGAGTACCGATGTGTACTCAATAGGTACCAATGTATGCTCAAGCTCTCCTTCCACAAATCCGATACTGTTCACGCCAATGGAAAACGTATAGGATATCTTTGACCATTGAAATCTTTTTTGTTATTTGGGGCTTAAGCTAACTATAGAAATCAAAATCGCTCATTTTTTAAAAAAAAAACTTTTTTTTTCGGTATTTCTCAGAGATTAGGGTCCATGGATCAAGAACTGATAGCTTCATTAACGAACACAAAAAATTTATTTTGGCCCGCTTTCCCTAAGTCCTTTATTGATATAATATTTTTCTTTGGAGCTCTTAGTTATAATTAAATGATTATGATCGATATATTTTTCTAGAAAATGGTGTCCACTTTTTTTAAATTTTAACTAAAATGTGCTAGACAGTTTTAAATCCTTATTTCTCCAAAGACAGTTCACGTTGAAAACTTTAGAAGTGTTTCCTCGATGCGATTCACATTTTTAAAGTAATGCTATTTATGAGTGAACACTAAACAAAATGCAAGTGTTAAAAATGATCGCCACTGCTCCTAATTGCCTCAAATTAGTTACTAGTTACAAAGCCATTTCGGGACTTCTCTGTTTTAAGGCCCAAAAGTAACGTTTTTCTTATTTTGAAAAGTGGATCAATGCGCACTGTTTTGAATGGTTCAAATTACTTCCGGTGAAAGAAAATCTGGATTCTTAGTGAAAACATCAGCTCATGTATTACATTTTCATAACTTTGGGCTGTATGACAGAAAAAAAACGTCTTTTCTTCTGAAAATATTTTCACTAACAGTAACAGATTTGTTTGATACACCACCTTTTTCAGTTTTTCCTGTAATTTATCTTTTCAGTCAACTGGATTCAACTTTTGGCTAATTAGTTCAAAAAAACTTTCTCAAGTTTTTGACTATTTTCTGTTTATGTCTTAGTGTGACAGATAATGTAGTTTTGATTTTTTTTGGCTGCCCAGGCTGAAGTGTTTGGACTTCCAGGTTTTGACCAAAACGGTGTAACAATGTCCATTTCAATTAAGACAGTCGAACGAAGGCTAACGTCGAACGAAGTCGAATCATGGGCCAATCATGGTCAAATCATGAGTCAAGCAGGGTCTAATTATGGGTCCAAAACGGTCAACTCGTGGTTCAACAAAGTCAACTCATGAGTGTAGCACGGTCGAATTATGGGCCAATCAGGGTCAAATCATGAGTCGAGCAGGGTCAAATCATGGGTCGAAAACGGTCAACTCATGGTTGAACAGAATCAAATCATGAATCGAGCAGGGTTGAATCATGAGTTCAACAGAGTTGAATCATGGGTCGAATAGAAGTAGGAAAAACTGGGCATAAAAAGGAGAAAACGTTCTCATTCGTAATCTTGCCCGTTTGTTTTGTTTTGTTTTTGTTTCTAAAAGTTTTTTGCAGCAACAAATGTTCCAGATACATTTTTTGAAGCCTTCCAAGAAAAACGTTCCAGGAGACCAAAATGGGTATTTTGTAAATTGTAACTGGATTTCGCAACAAGGATGCTCTATTTGTTCTTCTTTTATTCTTCCATGCTCTGTGATTGTTCTGACGAAATAAATTTTAACACGTTTTACGACTTGTCTCTCGATTCCAGAGACACAAACACACCTATTCAGTGCACAATTTGGCCTCCTTTTGAAGTTTTGTCGTACTCTAATAGATCTTTTTAGAATACTCATTCTTCTGGTATGCTGTTATTTTGGACTTGTATAAAATTTTTTGTCTTTTTTTTTCTCAATTTCTGCCGGCTTAGTTAGCACTAACAATCATAAGTTCACACATAAAGAAGTTTCAAATTAACTGGAACATTTTTTGCTTCTACTTTTTATAAAAACTTTTCTGCTACGCTCAACGATAACCTAGTTTTAAGCAAGTCAAAACTTTTTTCGATTATGCCTCCATAAGGTTGTAAAACTAATCTCCAATTGATAAAGTTACAACAAATTTATACCGTCAATGAATTTTGATACTGATGATTTCGGATTGCCAAGGTTTCAGTTGTTGAATCAGAAAATTTTAAACGGCTACGAATGTGAAAAATAAATAATGTAGGAAGTAGTAACGAGATTTAAGGACAAGCCAAACAACCAAAGTTGTTTTAAAAAGAAACAAAAACAAAAACTAAAAACTTTTTCAACGGACCTTTTCAGTTAATAACATTACTCCTAAACCTTTCAAAAGTCCAAAACTAAACCGAGATGCAGCAAAAAAACACCTTCACAACTTACTCTTGATAGTCAATAATAAAATTGGCACAGCTCAGATATAAACGGATTGACTTGATATCACAAAGTTAAAAATCAAGAACAGACTCGCTGAACGACTACAAAACCCAGAACAAATAGAACTTGCGAAATCTAGAAACCCAACAAAACTCATACTTTCATACACAGTAGTGAGAAAGAAATGACAACTTTTTACAGAAACGTTCAAAAGTGCTCTCGAATCTAGCCTTAACGATAGGTCGCCTGAATCAACGCAAAAAGAAATAGAAAACTTAACTGGCAGACAGGTATTTAAAAAAAAAATGACAAGAGTTTCGTTACTTGACAATTGTGTTGCTAAAGTTAAGAGAATTAAAACTGGGATAATCAAAACTGGGATACCTCAATTTGTATTTTTTTCGACGGAAAAAGACATATCTACATTTTGTATACATGATTTTGAAACTGATTTTCAATTTTTCTTGTTGCCCAAAACATACTTGAAAATTTACAAAAAAATATTTCAGAAAATAAAAAACCTCGAAAAAACGCCCCACTTCAAATTTTTTAAAGAAATTTGCAAATATTTGATATGGCTCATCGGAGCC